TCTCTCTCTCTCTCTCTCTCTCTCTCTCTCTCTCTCTCTATCTGGCGCTTTGCTTCATTCCTCTCGGCCCCTGTACTGATCTCATTCTTCCAAAACCCCTCGCTCTGTCTCTTTGTCTGTCTCTCGGAAAAAAAGGGTATCAGACGACGGATTAATATGGATATGAGGGGGAGGTAGAAAAAAAAGAGTCAGTGCAACCGCAGTGAATTGTGGACATGAAGCGCAATGATCAGGGCTGTAACACTTTGAAGCAACTGCCGCTTGACTATTTAAGCCTTCAAAGTGTCGTCTGAATAGTATACCGCTCAAAATCCACGTATCTGCGTGTTACATATCATCCAAAATGGCCAGCTACTGATATTTAATGACAAAAACATTAATTGATTTCCTGTATACTAACTGCTATGTCATGTAGGATGGAATTGGGACACTGTTAAAAAGGCTAAAGGAGGGAGGTGTACAGGCAGATAGGTGTGGTTGGAGGGGGGGTGGTGGTGGTGGTGTTGGGTGGGGTGGGGGGGGTCAAGTGTGTCCACTAGAGGGCGACCTGTGACACAATCAAATGGGCCTCTTCCGCTCTTGTGTTAGCGGCTGATGACAACACAGTCAGCTGGGGAAGGTGCAAAAAAAATGGGAGGCCAGACCGACCAGTTGGCTCCTCGTGCAGTCAGACACAGCAGCAACTGGGGACTCTGCTGGGATTCATATGTCAGGACTGACAGGAGGACTGCTTGTCTCTCTCTCTCTCGCTCGCTCTCCAGCATCCAAACACGTGTAACCTTTCACATATGGCAACCAAGATGGATGGATTTTGGTATTCTGCTGATGGAAATGAGTCAGTGTTTGAGGGTTAACATTAACAGAACGTGATGGTTTGTATTTTTAAAACAAGGATTTGAGTTCTTATGTTTGTAAAATGCTTCTTTCACCCCACCTCTCTCTCTGTCTCTCCTCACTTTCCTGTCACTATTCAGCTGCTACTATCTAATAAAGGCAATAAAAGCCCAAAACATAATCTTTAAAAAACGAATATAATTTGCGAGCACTGCTTACGTCCAGGTGGCAGCATTCAGTTTCATTTGCAAGGACTCCTGCGTGCTCATGCATGGGTTGTGTGGCATTTGCTTTGATTAGTCAAATGAACACAAGAGTAAATTATTTCCTGTTCCTGTTGAACAGTGAATCAGGCACCAGGGATGTTACAGATTGTGGTTGGCACCTTAACCCCCTAAGCCACCAGGACACCCCCATAAACCAAAACGACTGCACACTGAGTGCAATTGTTTAAATATTAACAGGTTTAAATTTCTGTATCACAATTCAATCCACCAGTTTAGAGCCGATGCCTCAAAATGGGACCAACTCGGCCTGACAGACTCCTCAAACTGTGACAGAGAAATTAAGCCTTTTATTTAATTTTTTGCTCAAATTAAGATGCACATGAAGGCACTTTTCAATATTTACTGATCAGTTTTTAATGGAGCGTTGAGGTGATGCACGATATGGTAAAAAAAAAACATATTTTTGGCAGATATTGTAATACAATTCGATTTAAATCATGAAGATGTTACATTTTTTGGGGCCTGTACCAAACAAACATATTTTCTTAAATCAGGAGATCAGGATTTGTTGGCAAGGACATCTTTTCAGAGCTGCAGCATTCATTATAACACTGTTTGTCACATATTTTATATAAAAAAACAGCAGTTTCTGTGGTTTGGGTATTGCACTTGGCCATATTGTGATTTTGCTAATATTCTGATTAATGTCGTATTCACCAGGAAATGGTGGTTGTAAGTCATTGGTAAATATATTACATTAAGTGGACCACTAAAAGAGCCGCTGCAGAGTCTAATTAACGGCAGCCAAGCATTAACTCGGCTATTTGTTCTTGTTAATGGCCTGAATATAATTGTTGATTTCAGGGTGTTACAGAGAAATGGAAAAATAATGCTGTATGATTAATATTAAGCTTGGTACATATGCTCCACTTATCCATAAAGTGTTGAAGAGAAATGTTGCATCAATTTGAAATAATTTGATGATAAATATCTTTTACTGCATTAGTTGACAAGGACCTGAAAGGCCCACAAGTTTAAATCTTTATGAGCGTAGATTGGGAAGGACCCTCTTTTTATGGACCAAAATAAATTCAGGCTACAATTTATATGATATTTATGACTTTTTGCACATTTAGAACATAGTTTTGAAGACTATGTTGACATTGGAATTCAGTTTTAAAGGTATAGTCTGTGAGATAGTGGATGCTTTTCCACATTTAGTTCTGGTTGCTTACTGTTAACTGACTTTAAACACACCAACCAATCACAGTTTTCCAGTTGTACCGAATAGGATGGCCTCCAAGGGGGGAAAAATTACATCGTCGCTAGTGGGTTTTTAGAAATAAAGTCGATAAGAGAGTCTGGGAAAGTCACCACAGTGGCGACACTGAACAACGGTACCGGGCGGGAGTCACACACGTTAGAAAATTAAAGACAAATAGAAAATAACAAGAGACAGCGCTCAACGGCAGACATGTTACCCAGTTTACACACAGCAGCAGCAGCAGACAATCTTTGCACACCTGAAGACGGAGCGTGTTTTCGTTGAACTCTAACACACACAAACAAGCAACCAGTACAAACACGTAGGCTGCAACCACACACACACACACACACACACACGCTCACGCACACAAACACAAACCCATCCAAACATCCTCTCCTTCGTCTCTCCATCCCACTGTGCCTGCTCACGGAGGGAGATTCAGTGGCCCGGTTGCCATGGAAACCGGGCTCAGTGTACCAGCCAGCTCCACCGTTGGCTGATTGTGGCTCCTGTGTATTTGTGTGTGCAGTGAGTGAGTGTGCACTTGCGTAGGTGTGTGTGAGACTGTAAAGCCTATACAGGGCTCTGCTTTGAGTTGTTCAAGGGGAGGCTAAAATAGGCTGCATGTACAAAAACCTATAGGGCGCCTGCATGCTTCCTCTGCTGCGATTAAACCCGCTGTTTTAAAAATCTTAACATGGTTTCAGGATTGCATTCATGTGTAAATACTTCACACATTAAACTGGGTTACTAAATCAATTTTTGGATTTTGTGCAGCATTTCAGCTGTTTAAAAATCCCTGCTCCTTCCGCTGCTAGCCTCGATGCTCAATGCTGCGCAGTAGCACGAGACAGGGGAGGACATTTGTCTCAGGAAACGTTCAATCATCCTTACTACGGGTAATGAGTTCCTTATACAGTGTGAGTGGTTATGAACCTGCAGGCCCCGGCGCACGTGGTCCTCCAAGCCAGAGTTAATGAAGGACAAGGCAGTGGGAAGGGTGATGTGTGTAGGCGAGGATGCTGCTAACCTTTAGAAACCACAGGAGAGTTCAGCTCCCTGTGTTCACCAACAGCGATGGGATTTTCTTCTTTTTTTTCTGAAGCAACACCAGTACTGAACAGGTAAATGTCATTCAGCACAGGGCAAATCATTTCCTCTCACAAATCAAGAGGTCAGACGGAAAAAAAAAAAAAAAGGGAGGGGGCTCATTTAGCTGCCACACAGTGTGGCTTTTGAGAAATGACATGTCCAGACAGGACTGCTGCCTTAAACCTGCCTCCTAAACATCCCGAGGATTGTCCCAAGTGTTCCCGTCTGATAGGAGAGGCTCCTTCACCGGTTCTTTGCCGGAAAATGATGCTGGACTCCATCTGACAGAGCCAATCAGCGGATCTCATCTTACGGACAGGGGCAAAGTCAGGGTCAGAGGGGAGTAGTGTGGGGATGAGTCTAACACCTGGGGACTAATCTGTTGATGTCTTTCAACTCCATCTCTGTGACCATAGAGCTGTGTGTAGCTGTAGTCACAGGGGTTTTACTATCTATTATCAAAGCCATTTCAATGTGTGAGATACAGTCCAGGAAGTGGGCTATCTGTGACAAACACACAGGTGAAGAGAGAGTGATATGAAAATACAGGGTTTCAGCTTTTGGGAAAAAGCACTACGAGATGGCAGATGAACTAGGATGAGAACTGATGTGGTAATAACAGTTTGCTAACAGTGACGTAAATGTGGTGGGATCAGTTTTTCCTCCTCGTAGATGCCAGTTTTAAAGATTATACCTGTTCCTTCAACCTCCTGTGTGCACGCTTCAGACCTTCCAAGCTTTCAGGAGTGATCCCAGTCATGTTACTTTAATTTTATATATCCCAGACTCAGACAGAAATTCTTGCAGATATTTTTACTGTCGGCGCTACTAATAATGCAAATTGTGCTTTAGAATAAAAGTGTAGCTAACTCTCCACAAACCATCTTTAGAGGATTAAAATCGAATTAAAGTGATCTTATTCTTATTGGAATGACTCAAAGATTAACATCAGCTGAGACAAATGGAAAAAGGGGTTCCAGGGTTTGTCAGGCAGATGGAAGCGTGTTCCAGTGAGAATAAAATCACACTGTTTGGAGGGTAAATGTGAGACGTTTTCCATCATTGGTCAATTTTATAAAAGTAACACTTTCTGACATTTTATTAACCAATTACTGAAGAAAATAACTAGCTGTCTGATAATTATATTTATGATTAAATGATTCAAGACATAAACATATAGATGTCCAAAACACAAAGATAGAAAAGATAGATTTAGACTAGCCCTTTTAGATTGCTTTTTTTTTACACTGATATTAAACTGAGAAACGCAATAACTTCCCGCATTTTGTGGAGCTGGAAATAGCAAATGTTTGACATTTTAACTTAATAAATGACTTAAATTATTCATCTATTATCAGATTTTCTTTACTTAATGTAGGTAAGTTGTAAAAGTTGAATGTGAGAGAAAAAGGAGATATAAGTTAATCTGGAGCCACTGAATTCCCAGCATTCAAAGTCCTCACTTTGACTCCATCAAACTTTCATGTGATTCTTCATTAAAGAAAATGAGAGGGAAGTTGAGACTGCGTCTGGCACCTGGATTAAGCGGTCTGCAGGACGGATTAAGTGTCAAATGTTACCTGTCGGACAAAACTGTTGGAGGTGGTGTCAGAGGAGGTGCTTCCATCCGAGCGCTTAAATCGGCTCTTCCTCTTGGCGTACTTTCCCTGAGAACAGAGAGGTCGGAGGGCAGAGAGGGGAGGGGGAAGGAGGAGGATTTGGAAGGACAGAGAAAAGAAAGACAAGTTTAATTGCATTGCTTCATATTAACTTAACTTGACATATTTAGCAGAAAACCTTGTTTCCGGGGAGCATGACAGCCATTAACATTTGACATAGCGTTTGTAAAAGCTTCTGAATATGATCAGGCAGTCAGATAGAGCCGGAGATAAAGCAGCAAAGACTCCCAGACTGGAGAGGAAGTCAAACAGCGTCCGCCAACAGCCTTCATTACTTGTCATTTTTCATGTTCTGATGCAAACTGGGACCTCGTAATCTGATTGGCGGACCCCTGGCAAATGGCCTATCCGGGTTGGGCAGAGGCCACACATTGCATTACGAGCCCACCCTGCCCACGTCGCCATGGTTACGCAATGCCTACTAATCGCATTTGTTGGCAATCAAGGAGACTGTTGTTCTTCCAGCGTGACAAAAGAGAACTGCTGGTTAAGATAAAGCTTAGAAATAAACAAGGAAGATTAATATACAGAATGTGTACGTGTTACCACCATTACAGAGCACAGTTAGTATGTCTGTAACTCAACACACACACACCTGAGTGTCTGTGCTCCTGGGATATATGCACCTCAGGGGGTATAGCTCAGTGGTAGAGCATTTGACTGCAGATCAAGAGGTCTCCGGTTCAAATCCAGATGCCCCCTGATTTTTCTGTCATCTCATGTTTAAGTTGACGAAGTTATGAACAGCACAGATCAAATGACTGTGTTCCTTTATCGTGTTGTACCACAGTTCACCTTTACTTAACATGACTGCTGACCTTATTCAGAAAACACAATATTTTAGATACTAAGTGTCTTTTCTTCCTTCATCCAGACAGCCACAGTTTTCTTTAAAGGTCCACTGTGTAACATTTAGGAGGATCTATTGGTAGAGTTTACATATAATATTCATAGCTATGTTTTTATTAGTGTATAAACACCTGAAAGTACGAATCTTTCATATTTACAGATGCAAGAATTGCCATGTTTCTACAGTAGCCCAGAAGGGGGTTGCAGGAGTCTTCAACTACACTGCTAGATGCCACTAAATCCTGCACACTGGACCCTTTAACGCTGAAACTAACAATTATTTGCATTATCAATCAATCTGTTGACAATCTGTTAATTGATTGATCAATACAAAGTCAGAAAACAAGGTGACGCCTCCAAATCGCTTGTTTTGTCAAACCAGACGTCCAAAATGTTCAATTTACAGCGATATGAACCAGAGAAGAAGAGCAGAGATATTGACATTGTCAGCTATGATTTTCTGTCAATCAATTAACTGTAGCCTGACTTTTCTTTCATCTCAGATCTGTTTGCAAATCAACTGCAACTTGAAACTTGCGGAGACACTGCAGCTACTCTGAAACAGCAAACACTGTGTTACCACTATATATTATAGCTGTGTGGTAATGCAGACTGCTTTAAAGAGTCTGCTGGTGTCATGCGCTGGTTGGAAACTCAAATATCAAGAAGATATGAGAGTCAGCTGCCAGACAGAAATCCAGTTAATAAAAAAATACCTACAGTAAAAACACTTTTGACATAAGCTACTGTCCCCTGCTCTCTCAATACGAGTCACATTATTAAATCTACAGCATAAAACAATGTGTTTTTCTGCTTCATTAATTAATAAAAAATGATCTAAAACAAATATAACCACATATATTAGATTGTGCATGGAATAATGGAATTATACATGACCTTTCTTTGTTTTGATATTATTCATTGGCCATCAGTCGCTCTGCTCTCCTGTATGAGTCGACCACTGTTATTTTCTGTTTAATTCATCAATAACCTACAGTAACCTGTACTGGTGCTGGTTTTGAAACCTCAGCTGTCTCCCACACATGAACACAACACACTTGCACCTCCTTCTATCTCGATCCGCTGAATTACCACACACTGATAAAGTATTGTAACTTCATACAACACTGAGAAGGGCTGGATATCAAATCGAAATACTTTTTCAATACTTGCTGACATCCAAAACTGTCAAGTATCAAAGGTTGTTAGTGAAAGTCTAGTTGAATTTTAAGTTTTTACTGATGACTGAAGACATTTTCCAACTTCACTTTTCGCACGACTGAGAAGTTTTAGAGAAACATGTTTACACCCCACAAGCTAAGATGATGAAATAAAGTATTATTATCTGTAACGACACTCAGCTCACTGTTTCACCATCGATATTGAACATTTTGAAATGATACTTAGTCCTAATACTGACATGGAGTATTTAAAAACCTAAAATAACTAAGGCTACAGGAGGATGTTTAACATGTTCAGCTGTAAAGTTAAATAGTCAGTATGTTAAACTACATTTATCACGGTTAACACACACGTATTGTACACAGCTATGCAAACACTGAACGTCACCTATCGGCTGCTTAAAACGTGTTCAAATGTGTGTTTTTGGATCAGCAGGAGAGAGCCAGTGACAGGTTAACTACCCACCGACGGTGATCCCTCCTCCACTCACTAGTTTGTTATCACTGTCACATCACGTACGACATTGCACGCCGCGGCCCTCGGCTCTATGACGCCGTCCTGCCTGCCTTTAAACAAACACAACCTGTTACACCAGCGGCCAATCGGTGCGAACATAAAAAAACACACAGTGGACGAGAAGCTTTCCAGCGATAACAAATCAAAAAGGAGGACAAAACACACTTGTGTTATATGCTCCTCTGCAAACGCTCAGGAATTCGTTTGATTTAATTTTCAACCTCCTGCGGCGCTAAAATAATATATCTAGGCCTCGTGTGCTACGCTTGATTTACTGCTGCTGATGAACACACAGCAGGATGTTCCACAGCAAACTAACTGTGATACACCCAACAACAATGGGTTACCGGCTTTTAATGTTTAAATTGAGCTGATGATACATGAAGCATCACTGTCGGCAAATGTCTCCTCCTACACCGACTGAAACAGTTGTCCAAGAATCATGACTTTTTTAGAAACTGCCATGTGCTCTGATGACTGTGTTAGAGATAATACTGCTTGTTTTGTGTCGCTGAAGAGTAAACATTCAAAACTTTCTGACGGTGTTAAAGAAAAATAATCCCACTTTTTGCCAACATTTACAGGGTTTATGGTAACATTTGGTGGTCACATATATAGATCAGGGGCTTCAAACTGCCAAATGAGGTCAATAATATAATATAATTCGTCCTGAAAGATTATTATTTGTTTTAAACTACATTTTCATATACAATTAAAATAAAAACACAATTCTATTTTAGTTTCGACAAAGATAAGAGATGATAAGAAAAGAGCAGGTTTCGGACCTTCATTTGGCACAAAGATAAATAAAATCATGATAAAAATATATACATATATATATTTATATGTATATATTTTGTATTTTAAGTATGATGCAAGTAATGAGAATACTTTGAGTTTGAGACCCCTGATTTTGACATCTGATCACTGACTTAATGAACGTACTCAATAACCGTTCTCATTAACTTGATTCCACATCCATTACGCTCAGATTTCTATATGCAGATTGTATAGACAGTTAAAGGTTTGTTTGGGACAGCAGGAAGAGGTGTGTGAATATTATAATTTAATTTCTGCCAGTAGATCTTCCTAGACGTTACACACTGGACCTTCATGCCTCCTGTTCATACGGGCCATTAGGAGAAGTGATTGGGGACAAAATCCACAGTCTTCGTTTGGGCCAAAACTTATTGAACCATTAATCCGAAGCTGAAATGAGGCTGAGCAGTCTGAGTTATCAAGAGGGAATCTTGCAGAGTTACAGCATATTTGGTGCTAAATTCCCTGTTTTTGTTGGCAGCTCAACAGGTAAACACTGTCCAGGGGGGAAAACAAAGAGGAATAACTTTGCGTTACCAACTCATATAAGCCTCAGATGAACTTGTGAATATCTATTGTTGCACAAAACGATTTTGTCCTTAATTTTATGTATTGAAAGTGCATCAGGAAGGTATCTTTTAATGGCCTGTATGAACCGGAGGAATGATTTTAGCCATGTCTTTATGAGCATTTCACTATTTTTTTAAGACAGCGTTACTCGCATTAACGTGCTTTGCTTCATCCTAACACAAATCTCATGGTAATACCCGGCGTAAATGGAGTCTTACTCACCATCTTAATTGCTAAGATCTGAATGTGCAACACGACCAGGCAATCAGAGAGGCTGTAAACGAATCCCCAGTTCATCTATACAGTCTAAACCAAATTATCTGGAAGTGAAAACAAACACACCCCAAACAGAGATATTACCCACAGCAGTGCAAAATGAAGGATGTTAGGTTAAAGAACCAGGAAGTAGCTCTGCAGGAACCTAAATGTTGACGACGGATAGTTAAAGTCATCGTTTTCATTTGCAGATAAGTGACTTAGATAACGTGATTGCACTGTGGATGCCGTGCCACCAGATATCAACTGAGCTGGCAGATAAAATGTCACCGAAACACACAAACACATCTAAGTTACTACAATAAGACGCTCTGTGTGTGAGGCTCGTTCACAATTACATTTAACATGGTGTGTGTGTGTGTGTGGTGTGTGTGTGTGTGTGGTGTGTGTAGAGAGTGAGGGGGGGGTCTCGACGATCAGAGACACGATGGGGCGAGTTCCTGTCAGCAAAGGGCAGGGAAATGCCAGAGGAAGTAAGGAGGGCAGGCTTCCTGTTGGTAAACATCCTCCCAGATTAAGTGTATAATTAAAGAGGGTGTTGTGTGTGCACGGGGGGGGGGGGGCTTTAAACTGCAGGGAGGGAGCGTGGAGAGGGGGGGTGGCGAGGTGGTAGGTGGCGGTTGGAGGGGTGGCGATGAAGGAGTCCACCCAGAACCCTTACATACATTATTCTTCTCACAGATCTGCAA